GTTTCTCGGGAAGGCAGCGGTGGCGTACTCAGCGATACGGGAGTTGGTGCAGCCTCGGCCTTGATGGTTGTCAAGCGATCACGGTAGTCGGAGATCTCGATCAGATCGTCATCACTGTCGTCTTGCGCCGCATAGCCGTTCCTCCTTGGAGGCGTTGACTCCCTGTTAGTTGACCATTCGCCGTTCGCTTGGATTGTGACCTGATCGGCATTCCGCACTTTGCTCAAGATCTCTTCGACGTACTGGTCAACTGCAAGACCTTCGTAGGAGATGGTCTTGTTGCATATCGGACATATCCATGTGGGCGCTTGCTCCTGCAGCTGCAGGAAGGAATCCGCATCGAAACATTGATTGTGAGAGCATACGGTTGATCGGCACGGCGTGTTGATCCTGACAGTAGAGATGGGATCTTTCAGAGACATGACGCTTGATCCGACCTCGATGTCAGGATCGTTTGCCTTTTTCATCATCTCGTTCAGCACTGATTGCCGGCTTATGACGCTGCGCTGCTTGATGCGCCGTGTGAGCTCTTCCACGGAGAACTTCTTTACCATGTAGACATAGATGTTGTATTTCTAGAGGCTGCTGTCAGTAGGGAGTGACCAATGCGAGCTGGAAAGGGGTAAGAAACCTCCACTGGCTGACTTGCCTTCTGCGTCAGTGCATAGGTGATCATGAGATTGTTGCGGAAGTTGGCGGGGCTTTTGCGCACGAGGTCAGTGATATCTGCGGGTCGTGTTGAGCCGGGCTTGTTCTTCAGGCCCTTGAAGTTTGCCTTGAGCTCTTCGCCATTGACGCGCACCTCGATCTGCGAGGGGAAGATAATGTCTAAGCGTGTAAAGGGCGCCAGCGGCTGCTCTAGGGCGCCGAACAGCAGTAATCGCAGTGACTCATCTGCCTTCATACGCGCACAGAGGGCCTCGTTGAGTATGAGCTGCCGTGTGCAGTTCTGGCGGTGGCTCGGCGAGGCTGGATGTGGTGAGCTTGGTTCGTGGTCACTGGCAGGAGACTGACCTTCTAGGGTGATATTGGTCAGAACGAGCTCGCGGATCTCGAAAAAGGGGCTGTCTTTGAAGAAGTACTGGGGTCCTGGTCACGTTTAGTTCCACGGTCTGGCTAATGTTGCGAGGCGAGCGGCGTACGGGGCGGCAATTGCGGCTGCTGGTAGGCGGGATACGCTGCGTTGTTCTGGTATCCGTTCGCCATGGTGTAGCCGTTGGTGGGCGGTGCAGGCGGAGGGACGTAGGTGGGAGGGGCGGGGCTGCTGCTGGCGGCGAGGTGTGATGCTGGGGGAGCGTTGCCGTTGTGGCCCACGCGATACTGCAGCCGCCGCATCATCTCGGCGTCGCCCTTGTAGACGGCATTGTTGATGACTGGTGAGGGTGAAGTTAGCGGCGGGCGATATGTGTGCGGTGAAGATGGACGTACGGCCGACGACGCGGGTCTGCAGCGTAGCCTTGTTCCCGCTCTGCGAGGCGCCCTCCTCCTTGCACAGCTTCTTGAGGTCATTGTTAATCAGCGTCTTGGAGCGCTCGGTTATGCTGAGCGCCATCTGCTGCAGGCTCGAGGCCATGGTGGATGGCAGTGGGCGGTCTAATTACGGGGGGAGGATGTTGAGGGCGTGCTACCGGGAGATATGTAGTCGCGGGCGCATCTGGGGCTGGGGGCTTATTGTTCTAAGAGAGCGGGTGACTGCGAGTGAGAGAAACGGCGTGTGAGGGTACTGCTTCCTGCTTCCTGCAGTCCGACTATGATCGTGACTTCCCGACGATCTCGCGGTGCACAAACAGGCGACACAGACAAGAGTGCGAGGGCAAACAGGCCGGCGTCCCAGTCTCAGTGCGCCCGAGGGAGACAGAGGTGAAGTCGCCGTCGACGCTGCCCGGCGGCTCTCGCGGCGATGCAGCTTGACCTTGTCGTCGCAAAGTCAGCGTCACTAGGCGACGCGCACCGACAATCGATAACCCGCCCGCCTAACCCCAATCGCCATCCGCCACCAAAATTTCCGCGCTCACAGTTCGAACTTTCCCCCACACGCCGGCCTTACCGCCACCTTCACCTACTTTGCGCCTCACCCACCATATCAATCCGACAAAATGGCCAAAAGCGCACGCGCCAGCAGCAAGAAAGTAAACCACACCAAGCTGCGCGCTCGAGTGTTCGGCCCCGCGGAGAAAGCCCGCGCCGAGCGCATCCACGCGAAGCTGCTCGAGACCATCCAGCAGTCGAAGCCTGAGAAGACCGACATGGACATTGCAGAGGACTGTGAGTCACCTGACGCTTCGTCCCATCTCGCATCCGCTGACACATATCAAGCAGCCACTGCTGAAGCGACCAAGGAAGATGACTTTCCCAAAGGTTCGTCTGTTCTCACTGCTCCAGTCCCTCGCTCCCTCTCCGACCCTGTCAGCCCAGACCTCGACCCTGCACGAGAAAATTGCGAGCTCAGAAACCTCTGCTTCTATCTGGGGCTGTGTTCTGACGTCGTCGGCTTCAACGAGCTCGGAGACGTGCAATTTGCCTTTGACCCGCTTCCGCCGCACTGGTTGAGTGAGAATCAAGGGCTAACAGTCGCCTGACAGACATGGACCTTGACGGTGCCGCCGAGAAGTCTACTTCGAAAAAGAAGACGGGGAACAAGGACAACAGCCAGTCCCGCAAGCAGCTGCGCCGAAAGCCCAAGAACAAGATATCCTTCCCGGCCTCGAAAGGCAAGGGCGCATTGAAGCCATTCACCGGTGGACGCGTCAGCAAGCGACGATGAATTACGACTGCATAATGGCGTTTACATGGATTGAGCATTTCAAGGCGTTGGGAAAATAGTGTAGATTATGGATGATACCACGTCCCGAGGACGAACTTGCATGTATCCTGATTAAATATGTGGCAGAATCGCCTACAACGTCGTGTTTCCTTGACCGTGAGTGAATGTATTGTATGACTACACGGAGGAGCTCGCCCACGGATTGTTGCTTGGGTCACGTTAATCTTGGCGGGTGGCCTTGCAACTCAGCAGAGACGAGCTCCTTCGTAGACTGGCACCAGAGAGCCAATTCAAAGCTTCCACTTGTTACTTATCTTCTTACGCACTCCCAATCACCCACCACAGCCGTCTTTCACCTTCAGCGTCTGTAGTGTCATTTTGGACGCTCCCAGCTTGATAACCTACTTTGATGCCCACGACCTCGCACTTGGTTCAAGACTATAGCGTCTGCCAAAATGGATGACAAACCCTTCAGACTGCTCGATCTTCCAGTCGATCTGCGCCTGATGGTGTACGAATCCATACCGAGTAAGTGTACTAGATCCCAAGCACATGACACTGAAGCTTATCGAGGATCCATAGTAATAACCCGACATCACGATTTCCAAACGCCATCACTAGAGCCGGAAGGTCCTCAGGGCATGGTCACTTTAGTCACCAAGTCCTTCGAAACCGCCATCCTCGCCACCTGCCGCACAATTAACAACGAAGCTGGCCGCATCATTGCACCCAAGCTAGAAAAGCTCCGCGTAGAGCCTATGCGCTTGATGATCGAACCTGACGCGGTTGAATTTTGCTGCGACTACTACGGCCTATTCCTATCAATTTCATCGGCAACAGAAGACCTACTCTCGCCGCCCTCGCCATCTGAAGAATGTGAGCCATCCGAAGACCCAGCCCAAAATACGGGATCCACCACAGTCGAGGATCCCGCACTCACCTCCTTCATCACCAAATGCGCCCACGCTCTTCTGCTCCCAACCCCACCCAGCGCCCCCTCCCCTTGCCCGCGCTGTCGCCGTAAACTACTCCAGAGTCCCTGCGCGCACATCCAAGCCCATACACACGCTACTTGCTTTCTTGCTGATTGCGGTTTTCCGCGGTTTTCGCATTCTTGCGCCCGAGTGCAGGATCCAGCTCGAGCCGGGGAAGTGGGATGGGGATGCGCGCGCGAAACATGAGGCCGCGCAGGATATTATGGAGCGGAAGATTCAAAGGACGGTGTGGCAGAATCAGGGGAAGTGGGAGGAGGAGTGGCAGGAGGGTGAGTCGATTTAGAAAAGGTTGGGTGGTCGCGATGTATAGCGCGTATGGTGCGAAAGAGCTTGGATTTAGCGATGCATCGATGTAGGTTGACATGCTACTGTTCGGGATATGTGTTACGAATATTTGTAACACACGAGGTGTACCTTCATGCCTATTCACAAACCACTTCAGATCTTGATAGTGGGGTGAGGATATCTAGGCTTTGCCTGGCTTTCCAGTCCCCTCCCCCTTTTCTCGCTCGTATATCGAATCTGCATCTTCCACCCCGATACGATCGGTCATGTAGCATACACACACCCCGCTAATATCAAATCAGTAGCTATACTTCCAAATCTACTCCACGTGCATCTATGCACTTACAAAGCCATTCCCACCAAGTCCTGCAATCATTCGTGTCCTAGCTTGCAAAGACCCGTCTATTTCACTGTACTTTCTACGCTAGATTAAATCATAAAAAGCCTTTGAGGACATTCAAGCTTCATGATGAATTCTCAGATACTGGGCCATAACTTCTTGCAGCATCTAGTGTTCATACTTCTTGCCTCTTACTACAGTCCTCCTTGGCATTCATTTTATCACCGCACTTTGAAGATTAGGAAGTGCTTAATCGATCGAGGGGTGAGGAAGCGAGATTGAGCGGGGAGGAAAGTAGTGGTAATGTGGTATAGCTAGTAGCACTAGAAATGTGTTCTCTACCCAGCAACAGGAGCTAAGTTTATGTAGATCACGATGCATTCCGACAGATGCTACATAGTTAGCAAGAATGATAGAATGTGTTTCGTGGATGATGGTGTTCGGCGTTCCCATCCCCAGCACATCTTTCCATTAATCTCACGCTAGTCAAGTCTTTACCCCTCATCCCGCCTTCCATCCCCAACGTCGTTCGCATCTTCCCCTTCATTCGCGCGTCTGCTCAATCTTACGTCTTTGATTATATATTATTAATTTTGTCATTCTTCCATCAACACCAGGGCTCGTGGTTTAGTGGTATAATACTCCCTTAGCATGGGAGTGGTCCGGGGTTCGAGTATGTCTTGACCCAATTCGAAATTCTCGCGCAGTTTAATTAACACATCTGCAGTTCCCCGCGAGTCCATTGATAAATATCTTTTTGCCGTCATAATTTGCTCCAAGTAGATTTGACGTGTAAGTTCCGGGCAACAATTTTTTCTAGAGATTGCACGAAATCTATTCGCCATGCTGTGTGAGAGTCCTGCCTGACTTTTTGCGCGTGCTTTGGGATTCCTCCCCAACCCTCTTTTTGGTGCAACCTATTACCTGGAATAGGGAAGATTGCGATGCACGTTAGTGGTGCGCGAGTAAAGGCTGTGAATTTCTTATTTGATCTGATATGCCTGCGCTGCAGCAATCACGCTCCCATCCAACATGAAGCATGATGAAGACACTCCAGCAATGCGGCGCCCATGCCTTTACAAAAAGGTAAGATCTCCTCAAAGAGTCGCGGGTGATTTGAAGCTAAGATCTAGCCACCTGCCCTTTCGGACGAGGCCCTACCCACCATCAACATCAACCCTATCGCGCCGTGATACCCACGACTCCTCAGATGTCCTCGGCAGCGCCCTTCACGCTCACAGTGGCGACGTGATAAATTCGTTCCTGGAGGATCCAGAGACCTTGAAACTATCAACTTCTGAAACATTAGATCTGGTTCCTTTCAGGGTGGATGACGTGTCGGTTCGACCAGCCGCTTCATGATCGTATTTCGAGGGTCGCACAAACGATGGTTTGCTATTCACCGAGCTCTGCTCCGAGAAACGTGACTTCAGAGATGAGAAGATTGAAGACGACTTGATCTCAGACCAAAGATTGCTCTGAGTCAGAATCTTGTGCCAGAAAGAAGATATGGCGGGTGCACAGCTGACTACAACAGTGCCAAATATCTCCGCAACACTGTACACTTTGGTCAGCGGAGTGTCAGAATGAGTTCGCGCAATCTTACGTCAAGATTGCAAGCAACGCCGCGTTCCAAGTCGGATCGATTCCGCGATACACCAAAACCCTGAAATACAAAGATACGCCGCTCAAGCCCACCAATCTGCGGCACCAAGTTAGAACGAGTAGCAACGGCGGACATAATCGAGACTCACATGATTCCCGTGCCGAACACAACGCCCAAAGCGATCTTCCTTCGACGATCGACGTGCAACCTCGCAACGATGGGGAACGGCAGTATCAGAATCAACAGATCGGCAAGACACGAGAAAACTCCCACGACGACATGAGGCCAGTTGTTCGTAGCACAGCGTGCAAATGAGGCGCCACCCCACACTTCACCCTTCCTCGGGATGCAATACACTCCGCCAACCACGACGTTCATGCTGTAGAAGAGCGCCATGAAGACGATCCAGGCGTACGCAGTTCGTCGAAGCCATGTGATACTGCCGAACACACGGATATACAAGGCAAGAATGGCGGATTTGGCAGCCCACATGGTTGGAGCGATAAGGATTAGGATAGCAAGTTGCATCTTCACGCTTTGTGTTAGTTGGGCATCGTCTAGGCTTTCTTGGACGTACCTTTGCCATCGAACTCGACATGAAAGATAGAGGAACATCCCATGCATGCTTAGTAGCGCCTTGTTTAGAGACTGGCACATCAAGGTCAGCACGTATCAAGTAGGCAGTATGAGGGAGAGACTCACTGGAGAGATTGAGGGCCCAGTAGCCTGCGCCCCCAGCAAATGCAAAGACGCATAACACTTGCGCCCCTTGTTAGCGCAGCCCTGTGGGACAGAACACGAGGAGGACTCACGATCGTCTAAGCCTATTTTCCTGGCGACTTTCAGGTTTGTGGCCAGCCTTAGAATCAGAAAAAAACCTCCAACCACTATCAACGCAATCCCAGACTCGAGCATTGCAGGGTACATCGACGGCCCGTTCGCAAAATTTGGACCTTCGCCAGAGGGATTGGCCATGATGGGGATCTTTGACAGATCCATGTCTGGTGGCAAGGCCATGTCTCCAAAGTTGACGTGTGATGAGTGGTTGTGGTGTTCGTCGGGAGAGTTCAGAAGCGTTGCTGAATCTTCAGTCATCAAAGTAAGACGCCCTCGCAGCCCTTAAACATACCGGCAGTCTGGGACGCACTAAGATCAGCAATTTGCTGCTTATGGTAACACAAATTCGGATGATCACGGTTCTGCCCAGCTCGGAGTTCAAGATCCCGGTCCCTTGTACTAACCGCTCCAATAGAAGGTGTGAGCATGCCTATCCGCGCAAATCGAACAGCTAATCATTCCCCGCCCGACACGCCCTACGTATAATTCATGAAGCTGTCATACCTAGCTAGAGCCAATCGGGAACCATTATCCCTGGCCCTACACTATAAACAGGCCGTCGAAGTTTACCCCGTAAGCCGAAGGCGCACGTTTGAACTTTTCGGTCACGCCCCGAATACGCTGGGGTTTTTGGAATGTTTATCGTTAGCGGACCGTTGCCAAATGATGATATGGAGCGGTAGTAATGCTGGCATCAGTTTGCGTAACATGTTTCAAGTATTTCTGAAAATCTGCCTACCGTGCCGAGGCGTTTGCTGCCATCGGGGCAATTTGTGTGTTGATGCAGAGTTGACTGTATGCTATGATAGCCAACCCGTGACCGGATGCGTTGCATTTCGCCCCGAGTGAGGTATAAGATATCAGATCTTCTTAGGCTGCAGAAGCATACAGTGCAACCACGGCTTTGGAAATCCCCATTGTTACAACCTAGTTTAATCAATACCACTATTGACAATCGGGAGTCAATCGACGCACGAAGATGCTTGCTATCATTCTCTTCAACTATACGTTCGTCCTTACTCTGCTCTCTAGTAGCACTATTGTCAGTTGTTTCTTCCTGTCGTCTCTGGTGAAGCAATATGGATTCGTACGTACATTGCTAATTCTGACCGAATCACATATTGACCGTATTTACACAGTCATGGCTTTTGGTCCGTCCTTTCAAAAAGTTCGTGAAGCGCGTGTATTCCTATCGATTTCTCTTCGATGCTCAGGGAATGATCCAAGAAGCCTATGACTTAGTATGTACTTCTTTTGCTGTGAGCTAAGGATTCACCACCTAACAAGTCTGCAGGCCCAGAATGGTTCCTTCGTCGTGAACGCCCCCGACGTTCATTACCACTTTGTTACGGAACCGCACCTGATCAAAGAAGTCGATCACGCCCCTAAAGATGTACTATCTCTCCAAGCTGCTGCAAAAATTGTAAGAACAATGGGCTTTCAACAAGATGATGAGATACTGAGATTCCATTCAGATTCTTCAGCCGGAATACTCGATGCACCGGTTCGACTGGTCTCTGGAACGCGGTACCGATGGCACTCCACTAGTCAGGACCTTGCGAAGCTTGCTCAGGAACGACCTGCCAAATATCTTGCCTAAGACGCGCCTAGCAAACTCCGCAATCATTGACAACCTGGTTCGACAGTCGAAGAATCAGCGGCTTCACCTCAAGCCCGTCGTGCGCGCTTGCGTAGCACGCTCCAATGCGCGGGTGTTCTTTGGCGAAGAGATTGGTAAGAAGCGTCGTAACATGATCTTCTTGTAGCGTGTAGGCTGATGTTTGCGAAGCCACAAACAAAGAGTTCATGGAAGCTGCGGAAGACTTCATCAGCAAGACAATGCTGATAGCAGAGACAGCACGCCTTCTTCCAAGGGGCCTTAGCCAGTGAGTGACTTCCGCCTTATATCTTGTCGATTCGCTTGCAGGATAATACAACCGCTGGTCTTCGTGTGATGCAATCAGACTGACAGATTTTGCACAGTATCGCAGCACGGTTCTTGGAAAGCCAGTTCTCATCGCAACGTATCGTTTACGACACACTGGTTCCTATTGCCCAGCAGAGGATCGATGAACAAGAGTTGAAGAGATCAGGACACGCTGTTCCTGAACATGTAAGTCGTTGCAGAAACTCGCTTCAACAGCAGATCTGAACAACGTTGCTGACCAAATTTTGATGTCTAGAAAGACTGTATGCAATGGATTATGCAACAATCTTCCCGGTTAAGACCATGGTCAGCTGAAGTGACCACACCATGGACTGCCGGACGAATCGTTCACGAGCTCATGGCCCTTTGGTTCGGCTCGGTACATGCGATGGGAATGGTAAGTCGATTGCAGCGTGTTGCAGAAACAAACGATCCTAACCAGATAGACCATCATCTTCGCTGTCCGAGACCTGTGCATTCATCCCGAGTATGTCGATCTTCTACGCAAAGAGTTCGAAGGACCATCATATGAAGCTTGGGAAAGAACTGGCTACGGGTTGCCTCTTCTCGATAGTTTCCTCAAGGAGTCAGCGCGAATGAACCCGATTGACAGTGGTAAGTGTTCTGCGCCCGGAGAAACTCTGTTGCAGTAACTGACAGCAAACGACGTTAGTGAGCGTACGTCGCAAGGCTCTAAAGCCGTTCGATCTATCAAACGGCGTGCATGTCGACAGCGGAGAATGGCTAGCCACGCCCCTGCAAGCCATGCTTCAGGACCCCAAAATCTGGGCCGATCCCTCCTCGTTCCATGGTCTTCGCCACGTCGATGCCGCGACTCTGGAAAAGCTGGAAAACGCGGGCTCACTCAGCTGCCCGGACCCCACCAAGGCTGCGCTTCTGACCGATACAAGGGGCTGGCAGACATGGGGTACTGGGCGCACAGCATGGTGAGATTGCTCTTGTAATATCAGTTTTGCGCTAATTCGAAGAAACAGCCCCGGGCGCTTTTATGCATCGGCCGGAATGAAACAGATCTTCGGGTTGATAGTCACTAAATTTGACGTTAATGTCTTGGACGAGAGTGCGCCGCGCGCTTTCAGCTGGCGCACGAGCAATGTCCCTCGTCCGGACATACCAATCGTGCTCCGTCCAAGGTCGGCGTTGGCTTCATGACGCACCTAGGTACTATTGAGAAGGTTGTCAGGGTGTACGATTAGTTAACGCACCTTACTGTTTGGCGGTTGTTTAACATAGCTGTTTCATATGTTCCAATGTCTTATCTTCTCTTTCAAGTGTAAATTGTTGCAGTAGTTCGTGA